GTTTTCATTCGTTGCTGGAGGCTTTTTAGGTTTCAGGTTAATTGATAATCAAGTGCTAAGCAGCAAGTGTCACACGGAGTACTTGATGCACGGTCTCGCTTTTCTTCTTTCCAGGGTTCTTTTCTCTTCTTCAGGTTTTCGTTCGTTGCTAGAAGCTTTTCAAATCTCAGGTAAACTTTTCAGTCAAGGGTGCGCCGATTGCGGCTTTCTGACCAAATGCCTTCGGGCTTGACCCAGACCCCACCCCACCTCCACACCCCTTGCACCCTTTCTTTCCTTTCCTTGCATTTTCGTTTGTTTTGTCTTTCCTTCAAGCTTGTTAGGTCGGCTTTTAAGCTCGTTTCAATCAATGCGCACCCGACCCCCCCCGCTTCGTTTGTTCTGTCTTTCTTTCAAGCTTGTTAGGGGAACGGTTAGGCTCGTTTAATCAACGCGCGCCCAGAACCCCGCTCCCCTCTTCCCCCTGCCAATCAGAGCGCGCCGAATGACGGCTTTTTGCGTGCGTCAACTCCTGTTCCGAAGGAAACGACCACTGCGCGCCATTTCATCTTAAAGTCTAATGCATCCATGTTCGACGATGTACAGACTGCAGGGGCGTCAGGCTCGATACACCTACCTGACGCAACAAAGCTAAGGTGTTTCGAGGGAAGGGTGGACTGATCATCCACCTGTACTTGCCTTTCATTCATTCAAAAATCCTAACGGGTCTCCTCCATTTCACCCATGTTAAACCTTACTGTTGACGCAGACTCCTTCACCTTTCGGTTGTGCAAGTCAAGGTCTAGCGTCAGCATCGGTTTTGTATTCATGGGTGGTTTGCCATAACTGATTTAGTTCTGGCGAGCATTGATCTAAGTGTGTCTTTGTCTGTGGCGTGTAGCTGTACACCAACATGAAGAAAGGAAGAGCGTGGCCACGTAGCGGCGATCGTGGCGCCTAGCTGGCCCCGGCTCGTACGACCGGGGCTCCACTACCATGCAAAGCAGCACGAGCGTCTTTTCGCGGAAATGTCTTGGGCCGAAAAGCCCCGTCGTTTCATGTTCACCATGCCAAGATGATTATACCTCTGCGACGTCACATGAAATACAAACAGTTGAATAGAGAAACGTCTATAATTTATAATTCCAACCACAATTTAAGGGACTTCGTCAGACTTCGCCCTTTCCGTTTCATCTCTGAGACTCGCAACCTTCGAAGTTGGAGGGCTTCGGCACGTTGGTGCCTTTCACGAACCTGAAAATTGAAGAGACAAAGAGAAAATTAAGAACACAGAAGAAAACATAGAAACAATAGTACTAGTTGCATCTAGTTACTAGACTATACCCTATACCCCTTCACATCTGAAGTTTCCTTCGCAATCTCAGAACCAAATGATCAGTTCAATCGTGAGCTCTCCTGCGCCCTAGCTACTAGCTAGCTAGTCGCCCTGAACTTGCTCTCTCAAAAAAACCAAAGTAGGCGGGCGCTAAAACCCTTACTAAAAGAAGGCTAAAGCTCTTTGCGGCACCTTTGTGTCTTCTTCGCTCAAAGCTAATGTTCGAAACCTCTCCCGCCAGTTCAAAGCCAACATAGACTTATAAATAAACATAACTGACAACTTCCTTACGGCTCAAAGCTGGCAATCTAACATCTTTCATATTTGTCATATTCTTTTTGTGAGTTCCTATTCCCATTTTCATACCCTTCACACTTTGAACCTGGCTTTTCATCCGCAACCGAATACAACCTCTGCTGAAAAAAACTCTTTCGCGTAAAAGAGACCGTGGCTCACCAATAAACGCCCATAGCTTGTGTAAAACGTCCGCGGAACATCTAAAAAGTAGAGAAACGAAGACTGCAGACTCAAATCTAAGCAAATTGAGCCCCCCTGTAAGGTGCTCATGATCAGAAAAAAAGGCACGAAGGAAGACGCATCGGGTAGGTTTATACCGTCGGTTGGAAACTTATCTTCCTTGTTGTCTCCCTTCATGTCCCTCCCCGTCTCCACTCGTCTCTCTCGTTCGTCTCTCTCGTCTCGGCCAGTGAATACTGTCTCTCTTCTCTCTTCTCCTTCTCCTTCTTCTCCCTTTTCTATCTTCTTCTCTTTTCCTCTTGTCTATCTCTCTCTCCCTTTCTTGTCCTTCTCGCCTTGTGGTATTGCGACGCTCGGCTCTTCTGTAACCAACCTCTTCTGCCATGGCGAACCACGCCGCCCCATACAACGCGCGATGGGCACTTCTCTCCCCACGGCTCCAAAATCGCAGCTTCAGCTCGTCTTCGACATTTGTTTCTTCGCTTCCTTGTTCTTATATCTTTCTCAAAATCGTTGCGTCATCATTCTGCCCTGGCATTTTCTTAACCTGCGAGAGCCAAGGCAGCCAGCCAATATAATATAGTCAATGAACACCTGTTTACAAAACACATGCCAAACGCTATGTTACACGCAACAGAAAGATATGAAGAACTCCAATCCGTCTCGAATGACATGCGCTTAACGCCCAGATAGATGCATTCAAACACAAAGCGTGTCTGTATTGACAATGTTAGCGCCTCTCTTTTGGGTGTTCATGATCTCTTCAAGTGGATTGGAAGGAAATCAAAAGCGATTTCGTTTGATTTTCCAGGTGTTCTTGGTGGTTTTGATGCTAATTACATCATAAACCTCCCAGCGAGCGCTACTCAACACGCCCCTCTTTTCTTCTCCGCTCTGACAAAACCACTTCCGCGTTATGCCCGCCCTGGGGATATTGCGATGGTATTTCCTGACACCCCAGGAACTTCCTCCCTGTGGTTGCAACATCCCTGACCGCCAGGATGTAATCGCAACCAGATTCGATCCCGAGGCATTAAACTCCCAACGCATTCACAGGAATTCTCCCAAGCGAGCAACAGCTCGCAACGGGAGGAACCATAACAAAACCGGGAAGTGTGCGAGAGCGCATGAAAAACCATGGGAGCGATGCCAAACATCCAGGGATCCTTCCCGGCTGATCGCATCAGCCCAATTGGATTTGGACGGCACCCACTCCCAGTAAATCTACAAGGTGAGACCCGGGAGTTGGAAGCTATAGTGAACTACAAGTTCACTATAGTGTACTATAGAGCCCTATAGGTTGCGTAAGTTGCGGATAAGTAATTTACTTTATTTAATGGTGAAGTTATAACTTACATATAACTTACTCGTGTTTTTTCAAAGTATTGTTTTCAATTTTTCCCGAAAGCATTGCGAAGGGTTCTTCCGGAAAATCCCTTGAACACTGACACTCCGACACTTACACTTACACACTGACACTTCCACCACATTTGCACTACATACACTGACACTTCGACACTTACACTTACACACTGACACTTCCACCACAGTGTAAGGGGAAGAGCGAAAGCATCCAAGTGCAAAGTATGCAAGTGTAAGTATGCAAGTGATGGGTATGCAAGCACGCAGTGTAAGTATGCAAGTGATGGGTACGCAAGCATGCAATGAGCATGCAAGCATGCAATGAGTAGGCAAGTGTGAGTATGGAAAACTAGCACGGGAGATGTCCTAATGAAAAAACATTTCCCCACTTTATAAATTCTCTGTTAAAGGCGGAGGGCGGGACGAACAGCGTCAACCGAAAGTGCAACCCTCTGCGGAGATCGTGCGCGTCGAGTGCGCGAAATGCAGGCGAGAGTGCGATTCGCCGGGTGCCCGCGCAACCCTCTGCGGAGATCGTGCGTGTCGAGTGCGCGAAATGCAGGCGAGAGTGCGATTTGTGAAATTACCGCGCAACCCTCTGCGGAGATCGTGCGTGTCGAGCGCACGAAATGCAGACGAGAGCGCGATTTGTGAAATGAGCACGCGACCCTTTGCGGAGATCGTGCGTGTCGAGTGCGCGAACTGCAGGCCAGAGTGCGATCGGTCTAGCAGCGGAGCAAGCTGTGGAGCTGGAAGCTGAGAACTGGTGACTTCGTGGCACAACTTCAGTACGCGGAGTAGCTGGGCTCTCGGAAGCCGAGAACTGGTGACTTGGTAGTACAACTTTAGTACGCGGAGTAGCTGGGGAGTGGGAAGATGAGAACTGGCGAGTGGGTAGTACAACTTGAGTACGCGGAGTGTCTGGGGAGCTGGAAGATGAGCACTGGCGACTTTGTAGTACAACGGTAGGACGCGGAGTGGCTGGGGAGCTGGAAGCTGAGAACTGGCGACTTTGTAGTAGAACTGTAGTACGCGGAGTAGCTGGGGAGCTGGAAGATGAGAACTGGTGACTTGGTAGTACAACTTTAGTACGCAGAGTGGCTGGGGAGCGGGAAGATGAGAACTGGTGAGTTTCTAGTATAACTTTAGTACGCGGAGCAATCTGTGGAGCTGGAAGCTGAGAACTGGCGACTTTGTAGTATAACTGTAGTACGCGGAGTAGCTGGGGAGCTGGAAGATGAGAACTGGCGAGTGGGTAGTGCAACTTGAGTACGCGGAGTGTCTGGGGAGCTGGAAGATGAGCACTGGCGACTTTGTAGTACAACGGTAGGACGCGGAGTAGCTGGGGAGCTGGAAGCTGGTGATTTCAAGCCCAAGGCACTGGCGGCTGCGGTCATGCCACCAAGACAGAGACGCATATACACACGGACATAGATACACACACAGAAACCCACACACTACCTCAACTCACTCGACTTCACACTTCTCACTGCACACTTACCGGATATCTCGCACTCTGACTTCCTACGTGATGAAAAATGCTTTCGGGCCACTTGTCGTCTAGTGTTTAATGAAGTTGTCTGGAAGATACTGGAACTTATTTTTTCAAGAGAAAGTTAATTTCGAAGACGAAAATTCGCAAAACTTAATCCGCATAAAAAAATTACAAAATTCACCAACCGCGCGCACGCGCAGAAGCGTGGGCTCACAGCAAAGAGGGACGTGCCGCGCGTGGCTTGGGAGGAGCGGCAGGGCCGCTGGGCGGACGAGGCCGGCCACGAAGCTGGCTGGCAGCGGCAGGGCCGCTGGTCGGAGGAGGCCGAGCACGAGGCTGGTTGGCAGCGGCAGCCGCTGGTGGCACGCGCCACCGTAAGCCGGACGAAGGTCTGCGGCCGAAGAGCGCCGGCAGTCGAGCGGCCGGGCCGCGACCCGCAGCCAACCCTGAGAATCCAATATTGAAAAAATCAATCTTACGATTGGTCCTGGGAGAGGGCCAATCCCGATTGAATATTGAAATTTTCTTTGTGATCAAAGAATCTCTGATGACCAATCCGGTTGGTCTCAATATTGGTCAATATTGGTCATTAGATATTAATCAAAACTGGTCATTAGATATTGGTCAATATTGGTCCTGTGATATGGATCCTAGTTGGTACAGGCTCTTTTTGCAAGTAGGAGGCTGCAGAAAGCTGGTAGTAGTTTTTGCTGTACACAACAGGGTGGCTTTCTTTCAAGCCCTTCCCTGGTGAAGCATTGGCTGGAGAAGAGGATGGTCAGCCACCAGGTGGAGAAACTGGAAGGAGGAGGAGGAGAAGGAATGGAAGGGAAGAGGGCGAAAAGGGCCGATGGTTGAGTGCCAGAAACCAGAGGTGGGCAGATGAAGATGATGATGATGAGGAAGAAGAGGAGCAGGGGCCTGAAAGAAGGCTTGACCAAGAAAAAGGTTGCAGAAGCAAAGGAAAAGGCAAAAGCAAGAAAGGACAAAAAGGACATGAAAAAGGGTTTGGCGAGAAGAGGCCTGAAAGAAGGGCAGAAGGCAAAGGAAAAACATCAAAAGGAAAAGGCACAGAGGCAGAGGGTAAAGGCAAGGAAGGGCCTGAAAGAAGGCCAGCCAGAGAAGCAAGTTCAAGTCAGAGGCCTGCAAGAAGGCCAGAAGGCAAAGGAAAAACAACAAAAGGAAAGGGCGCAGAGGCAGAGGGCAAAGGCGAGGAAGGGCCTGAAAGAAGGCCAGCAGCAGAAGCAAGTTCCAGTCAGAGGCCTGCGAGAAGGCCAGACTTTGTCCCTGACAAGAGGGAAGGGAAGGCTCCCTGGGGCCCTTTCTTCCAAGAGGCAAGGGGCAAGAAGTCCAGGGAACGGAGAAAGCAGAAGAGGGCAGGAAGCCGTGGTGTGCAGGAGCGCAAAGAAAGAGGCCTGAAAGAAGACTATCCTGCAAGTCCTGTCCAGCAGGTGCAGCCAGGCACCCAAAGGTGGCGCTTATTGCAGGGCAAGAAAGGCTTGTGCTGGAGGAAAGAAACAAGCTTTGTGATGAAAGGGTAAGGTGGTTGGAGGAGCAGCAGAGGCTGTTGAGGGAGGAACCAAGGCCAGCAGCTGTGGTCCTCACTCCAGGCCCAAATGCTCTGTGGTGCCCGAAAAAGGGCCAGGATGCCAGCATGGAGGCCTCTTCCACTGAAGTGGAAAGAGCTGCCAAGAGGCTTCAAAAGAAGCAACAAGAAAGTGAAAGCCTGGAAGAGGAAAGCATGGAGAGTGAGAGGCCTGAAAGAAGGCCGGAAAAAGAAAAGACCAGTGCAAGCGATGTAAGCATGGAAGGGCAGGGGCCTGAAAGAAGGTCAAAACAGGAGACAAGCGAGTCCTCAACTGAGGAGAAGAAAGAGAAAGAGGTCGACTCACAAGATCTCTAGGCCTGAAAGAAGGCCTTGCAAAAACTGTTTCACCAGGGTAGGGCTTGAAAGAAAGCCTCCTGTTCTGTTTCACTAGGTAGGAAAAGGGGCTTGACAGAAAGCCACCCTGTTCTGTACAGCACAGACTCAACGAAAAACATAAAGTACAATAAACGTATAAATAGGTTTATGTAAATCATATATATTTATTTTCAGTTATATTTTAAGCTATTTTTTGGGTTTGAGGGTTTGGATTTTGAGTTATATTTGAGAATTTGTGTGATGTTTTCTTAATGTCTATATTTTCCAATGTTTTTAATAGCGAACAGTTATTGTCTGTTTACCTTCTGAATATTGCTTTAAAGTCCACAGGAAGTGATCAGTCACTATCTGTTCACCACCTGGTCCCTTCAAAATCGAAAGTCTGGAAGCCTGTTTTTCAAGCTTCCAGAAGCAGCTTCTGGAACCCACAAAGTTGGCTTCCAGAAGCTGCTTCTGGAATACTCAACATCAACACAATTCTAACTTTCGAAGAAGCGCTTGTCAAGCAAGAAGCTTGATTTTTTGGCTGGCAGCCCTTTTTAGGAAGTAGGGTTTTGAGGCTGGCAGCTTTGTTTCAGAGCTGCCAGCCAAAAAAAACAAGCTTCCAGAATGCACTTCTTGAGGCAAGAAGCCAAAAAAATTGCTGCCAGCCTTGTTTCTTGACTTCTCGGAGCTTTAGGGTTTGCTGAAGCCGGACGACGTTATGTCGATGTCGCCCGTGTGACTCGTTCGCCAGAGTCCGATCGTGAAGCTGACCGACATTCCGGTCGAAGGCAACAGAAAGGCAAAGGAAGAGGAAGGCGTTCGCCATCTCGTCAGGAGCGGACGCCTTCCATTGAAACTGTGAAGGAGTTTTCCGTCTGCATATACACGGTGCACCATGGAAAGCATGTTGTCGTAACGCAGATGGAGTGTAGGGTAGAGGGCACAAGTCAAGGGTTGAGTGTGGTGGCTGGACAGAGGGTAGAGGACACAACCCACCACTGACCATATGCAGCTTCTTTGGGTTCAAGCCTCCACCATGCCCAAGAGAAGG